AAAGTAATCACAGCAGCTCCACTATCTCTTCCAACCTTGGCCAAATGATCACATTTCTAGAGCCCACCTACTAAGCTACAACTCTAATCACCTAGAGTCAGGTAAGGCAGACTTGGGATAAGAATCTAACATTACGTCAGTGTAACCCTATCTTGAAGGAGAACTAAGACTGATTTCAAGACCCAACTCAAGACTCCCCTTCTCAGTGTCAGTATACAACCCCTCACTGCTCCATTTGACTGGCTTTTAAAAACATATTAAAATAATAAAAAAGATTCCCCTTTCTGTAAATCCTCTCCACTTTCCCAGGTTTACCTACACCACCCCTTTAGTGCACTCTCAACATACGGGTTTTTTTTGTCTCACATAAAGGTTTTGTTGTTGTTGTTGTTGTTTTTAATATAAATCAAGAAGGGGTCTTGTTCTGTTGCTTAGGCTGGTGTGGAACTCCTGACCTCAAGGGATCCTCCCACCCGGGCCTCCAAAACTGCCAGGATTACAAGTGTAAGCCACCGCACCTGGCCCCAACATGTATGGTCCTAAAGACACCTTCCACTTAACAACTAATACTAACAAGATGCTTCATGTTTACTGGTCAGGTGTCTCGAAAAAGCCAGACAAGTGGTACAGCCTGCAAGTGGACCCCATTATCCATTCTCACTATCTTCCTCAGGTTTTCAATGCACACATACCCACTCCAATAGACTCCATTTCTGCCTCCCCTGCAGGCAAGGCACCAGAATGTTAATAGAAGTTGTGTGTACAACTTGAAAGAAATGTCCTCAAAGCGAGAGGGCATATCCTTTTTCCTATTTCCTCCTACTGCTGGCTAGAGTGAAGATGTGACTAGAGCAACAGTTCTGGAACGTAAGAAAGAAGCTGAAGCTAGAAGAACCTAGGGCCAAAGATCAAGGAATCATCAGACCAGCCCTGGACTGCTTTCCTCTGGAACAAGGACAAGCAAACTTTTTCTTAACGAGCCAGAAGTAAATATTTTCACCTCTGCAGACTGGCACAGTCTCTACCACAACTACTCAATTTTGCTACTGACAGTTTTCTTTTTCTTTAGACTTTTACAAGGCAATTTCCCTAGATAGTGATTAAAGGAATAAAGAATAACTTATATGGTTATATAGACAAATGAGTCTCCAAAACAATTACATGAATTAACAGTTACCAGGAATAGATGTTTTGCCACTACCCTAAAAGGAAGAGGTCTTATCTGTTGAAAATTCTTAACTCAGTAAGTATGCACTCATCATTTGATCTGGCTTTTCTCTGATGCCTAGGAAACTGTAACACATACAGTGCCAGTCAGTGACTAACTGGTGACTGAGAGATGGCTTAGAAAAGAATTAAGACGTTCTGAATTTTGGTACCCATTTTAAAAACTGACAGTGAAGCAGAAAGATCAAAAAAGCAACCAGTAAGTTACTGAGCTTACCAGTTCACTGGCAAGAATTAGAACTCCTGAGAGATAATCTTCTACATCCAGATGAAAACCTTTCTCCCGATCTGGCTCAACTAAAAAACACATGAAAATAAAGTCATGCTGTGAATCCAAGTCAAGCCTCAGTATATAAAAATATACACATAATTTCTCCCAAAGTAAGTGAAGAAAGGATGAATCTTTTAAAAACTGGCTTTTTAATATATTCACACCCTTAGCAACTAGACCTCACTGTGGATTTTTTGAGTTCTTAAGCAAAATTGAATTCAGTCTTCCCTCAAAAAGTAACACTATCAAAAATGGTATCGAGTTGTGTCAGAGAACATACTTCTTGTTAGAAAGTGCATGAAAAAGCATTTAAGAAAGGAGTTACGATATTTGCAGCTATCAAATGGCTGACAGAGACACACACAAAATGAGAAGATTAAGCAGATGTAGCAAAATGTTAACAAGTGGCAAATCTAAGTGGCGTGTAAACAGGTATTCATTTTACTATTCTTTCCACTTTTCTGTAGGCTTGAAAGTTTTAAAAATTCAATTTTAAAAACTAAAGCAAGTGCAAATAAGTTTGCCATTGTTATTTTTAGCTTTTGTTTTTCCAAATATAGTCGGCCCTCTGCACTAACTGTGGATCGAAAATATGAGGCAAAAGGCCAGGTGCAGAGGCTCACACCTGTAATCCCAACACTTTGGGAGGCCAAGGCGAGCGAATCACGAGGTCAGGAGTTCAAGATCAGCCTGGTCAACACAGTGAAACCCCATCTCCACTAAAAAAATACAAAAAAACTGGCAGGGCGTGGTTGCTGACACCTGTAATCCCAGCACTTTGGAAGGCTGAGGCGGGTGGATCACCTGAGGTCA